TTTTCCAAAACTGCCAGGCCAGAACATTTCCAAGAAACCAATGCATCCACGGCTCTTCAAAAAAAAATCAGAACGTGGACAGTGATCGGGTCTCTAAGTATCCAAGTCGTGAAACCAAATTTCACGACAAGGCACCCAGGACGCAACCAGCATAACCACGCTCTGCTACCAGATGAACCATGCCCTCGTGCCTGCACCCAGACTAACGAAATGGAAGCGTGATCCATGCGCAGGCCCGAGGAGCGGCTCACAAAACTTTACTTAACAAAATGAGAACCATGGATGGAGGTTCAAGAACAACACGCCATTTAAGAGAAACGAGCTGTAATTAACTAAATAAGTAAACACAACAACAATAATCAACAACAATACATGAATTAAATACTCTCAATTAAACTTTAAATAAATTTGGATACCCATTTAATCTGCTGACTTACAGTCTTTTCTTTTATTATTCAAAATATCAGAAGGATTATTAAAAATTTAACATTTAATATAAAGAAATTACCAACAATAGATAAATAACAATAGATAAATATTACTTCTTAAATGCATATTTGGACTTGGTAACTATAGTAAATTTAGGGGTCCCAAAAATCAGAAGGAATTTAAGACAAAATTTAATAAGATTATAAAATTTAAAAAAATCAACAAGTAGGCTAAAGAATTTAAAAATTTAAATGGAATAACAATAAATAGAGATCTGTGCACAAATTAACAAAATAACAATTAAAATCTCTCAGTCCATGGCGGTAACAATAAATTAGGCCTAAGTAACTTGCGGTAGGGCGTATTCAGTTCAATGGTTCTGGGCAAGCAGCACCGGAGGGGGAAACGAGCATGACGGAAGAGGGGGGCCATGATCCAGGGGTGGCCAAGAGTAGTAGAATCCACTCCGTCAATGCCGATGCGGGCTGCTACATGTTCCTCCTCACGGGTTGACAGTTCACATGTGCCCTGAAAGGCGCGCAAGGCGTACTAAAATTTAATCCATAGTCGACGTTAATAACACCCTGAATAAAATAAAGGCAAACTGCAATTTAAACATGCCACAAAATAAAGATGTAAGAGGATGAATTATCAACTCGTTGTCGACAGGAGCAATGTCTCGGAGCCTCTGACACTAGGCGGTCCGAGTAAGAAGAACAAGACTCACAGCCTTGTTCGGGGTCGTGGAAGTAACAAACGAAACACTGAACTAGCCTACTATAAAAAAAACACTTGAACCATTGAATATGAGTCGTGACATTCGCCCGGTGGAATTAGTCACGTCTCACTACCCTCTACAAGACACTCCTGCGCCCAATTTTGGAATATGCGTCGGTGGTTTGGAGAAACCTACGTTTCTCGGTCACAGCGAATCCAGAGAAGATTTGCAAGAATGATGGGAGGTAGATGTGGCTACAACTATAGAGACGTCTCAGTTGAAGAACTTGAGTCCGTGCTGAACCTCCATACTCTGGCCAAGAGAAGAGATGTTGCGGATCTGGCTTTCTTGTTAAAACTGATCAATGGTAAAATTGACTCTCCTCAACTGTTGGTAAAGCTGTTATTTCGAGTTCCAGGCAGTACCAGGTCTTCAGATGTTTTCTTCAGGACGCAGTACAGGACTAACTACCTGGGTAATAGTCCGATGATCTGACTCCAACGGCTAGGAAACGAATTCTCAACCCATGTTGACCTCTACAGTGATAGAGTCTAGCCTCCCTTAAACACAAAATCCTACACGTTTAATAATTCACACTCAATTGCACTTACATCCAAATAAAGTTATACACCTTAGACTTACACGTGCATTATAATACAGTTAAAACTCAGAATTCTACACAAACGATTCAGATATACATATTATTATCATTGTTATTGTTATTAATATTCTTTATGCATTGTTATTGTTATTTATAATCATTCTGCATTGTTATTGTTATGTCATAGTTTAATAGCTGTTATTGTTGATTGATTATTGATGCAATTGTTGATGAAATGTTGTTTTGTTGTATAGTTTAAGTCAGTCTTGGAGTTTATTTGACGGATCTTCACCAAACTTCACACAAACCATCCTTGAATAATGCTTAATAATGCCTGAAAGTTTCATTACAATCTGTCGAGCGGTTTCGGGGTCCATAAAGGACAAACAAACAAACATACATACAAACATACATTGGATTTAGTACCTGGGGACCGTGCTTTGCTCGGGTAAAATCATCAGTACGCTCTGAGATTATTCTGTGGTCAATGTTATTTTCATCCAAATAATTAATTTCAGTCTATTTAAAATCTGTTAAAATAGTAATATCGTAGTTGAATTTGTTTGTGTAACCAATATTTATGTTACTTATGTACTGTATACATTTGGTTGTTATTTTTGGAACCAATACGCCATAATCGACATATAAAATACATACATAAAATAGGCTACATATTGGTAATATGCCACGATAAATTGATAAGTACGATAATATTTACGGGTGATTCGAACCTTTTGGATCTTATTATTAAAGCAAAGATAAAGATTTTTCTAGTCGTAGAGGTTTAGTTTTAAAAGTAGAACTTTGAAGGTCACTTAAAAAAATGGGGGGGGGAGATTTTAGGTTCTTTAGCGGCGCAAGGAAGGAAAAATTTCCGCCACAAAGTAGGTGGATTGGAGGGAAATTCTCCCTGGGGCCTATAGCGCATCACATGCAAACCGTGGGCTTTATGTAGGTCGTAACTAACATAATGGTAAGCATGCCACAACTCAGTACCGTGAATTTTCACTCTCGTCCTGTCAGTTTCGAGAGCTTCGAGATTTCGGTCCGTGTATATCCTGGATTCCAAGCAACCAATTATACTAAAATTATACAATTATACAATTAAACTGATTATCACGACCGAAAAACGGTAGCAGCAATCTGACACATACTTTCTCCCATTAGCTTGTGAACAGCCTCTATCATGGGTAAACGGTGGGAGTAACTATGATATTTTAGAAAAAAATATCAAAACTTGCAAAAACTTTCATTAATGGGGGGGGGGCTTCACTATACTTTTTTATTATAAGCACCGTAACACATTTATTTGGGGGGAAAATAACATAAGTTACGACAACTTTTGAACCACAATATTTTCGGAAATGGGATTTGTACCATTTTGTTCAGAATTCAAAGGGCGGTATTATACAGAACTACATTTTTATCAAAATCAATCGGGCCGTTTTGGGAAAATCCGATTTTCCCCTTATTTTATGGGGTTTTTATAGGAAATCACCACGATTACCATTAAAAATCAAAATTTTAAAAAAAGTTCAAAACCTGGTGATAACATGGATTAGTACCTACAGACTTATTTCATCAAAATCGGACTACAGGTTTGGTCCGTAGCTCTGTACACGTCCACAAATACAGACACATACATAGACATCACTTCGAAAACCACTTTTTTGGCTCCAGGGGGATCAAAAACGGATGAATCCATAGCTGTAACTCTTTTGTCCTTTTGAGTTCAAATTTGCGGCATTGCATTTTACTAGTAAAGACCTTTAATTTTATGTGCATATCAACGTATGCTTATATTAAAGACTTTCTTCCTACTCCTTGTGGGCCGTTCCCCTGGATGAGAGGAAAATTTATAATTGCTTAAAAATTTAGGTTTTATGATCGTATCTATGTTGGTTAAAAACATAATTAAGCCGTCCCGGGACTTTTTTAACACACTGCATATCATGTGTGTGTTTTTAAAACTAATATTTAAATTACGTGCTACGATAGTGTCATGGTAACATTATAGCGTAAAAGTTATTGCATAATTACTTAGTATTAGGTCATTTTTACAAGGTCTTATGCACTTAACTGTAATGTGTTTTCAGGCTAGTACATTTTTAATTCTTGATTTGGATATTAAACATATTTGTGTGCTCGATGCATTAACTTTACAAGTAAAATTTAAACCTGTTTACATATTTGGTTCAATTTTACCTGAGTCTTCCAAACAGAAAATTGTACCTTCAACTATCTTTCCTGTCATCCAATTTATCTCCCAACTTTTGAATCTTGTTTGACTCGGGAAAATGAGATTGTTCTTACCCGATTGCAGAACCGATCTATGAGGTTTGTTTACTGCTTGAAAAAACTTGATCACCTTAGCGAGTTCAGATTAAATGCTAGAGTCACATTTATAATGAACCTTTCTGATCGCCAGACTGTAAAGCTTGTCCACAAAAGTCTGCAGACTAGGAAGCCCGAGTATTTCAGAAGCAATCTTGTGTTTAGGCAGGATATCGGACATCAATGTACTGTGCGTTGTACTTGACAGGAATGCCAATTGCACCTGCCTAAACCTAAATTGGAATTTTGGAAAAAAACCTTTAGTTACTTTGGACCACAAACTTATAATTCATTGCCTCTCAAATTAAGCAACTATGTTAAGCTAGGTTTAAGAAAGATGTAAATGCACTTATTGTGATACAGTCAAACACACCTAAGAAGGCGCTTAGCCGAGGGGGTGAAAACACTGTACTATCCTCGAAGTAAACTTTGGGCCTTCCTTATACTCGACCACTCACCCTGCACTAACGTAATCGACTTGGGGCCGTGCAAGGAAAGCTATTCAATAACAACTATTTGTTTTGCAAATATTATCACATCGTGTTTAGTACTGTTTTTCTCGGTTTTTTTAATTTTTTTTTTAAATATACCTATAAGTTATTTACATCAAATAGGCCTACAAACATTGTTAAAGATAGAGTCGTTTTTGAGCAACAGCTACTGTCAGGGGTGTGATAAGGGCAGGTAGCTGGCAATTCGGTGGCATGTTTTTGGTACGGCATTATTTCCCCCCAACTGACCCCTTCCTCTATCACCCGCACAGGGCACAAGTGTCTTCTTAGATGTGTTTGACTTGTCCTCCAATTTGAACATGCATTCTGTTCTTTGTTGAAAATGACTACTAATTTGACTACTAAAATGACTACTTAATTGGTAGTATTAAATTCAATAATGAACATTTTTACGATTGTGTTTTAGTCTGAATATGTATCCAGGCATACGCTATACGGAGACAAAAAACTTGCTATTTTCTACTTCAACCATAATATCGACCCAGTAGAACACGATGATCAAACAAACAAGGTAAGTAGGCCTAATCTGCTTATAGTCTCAAAAGGTTTTTAATATTATTTAAGGGATTTATTTTATTTATATTGATTGCAACATGCTCTTTCTACATACCCCACGACTTATATTACGTTTCAAACCGGCTGGAATCAACTACTACAAGTTTATCTACGTATGATTGTAAAAAAAGGAAATAATAAAGAAATCTTATAAGAAATATAGGTAAAGCTATACATATTCGTCCTGGCACGTCACGTCGCGTCCATTTTAGACGGGTATGCTCCCTGTGTAATTAAATGTAATCGGCTATACATCTCCGTCACGTCACGTCTGGAAAACTTTTGTATGCTCTGGGAACATACCGTGTCGTGACGTGACACATCGGGATAGCCCCCGGTAACGTCCGATTCGCTCTGGGAACAACTAGAAGAGGCATCAACAGAATGTCTGGGTGAAAATGTCTAATTTGCTTCACACTTGCATACTAAGTGTGTAAATGATCTTATTAGCGCTATTATTGGTTGTCATATAATATATTTTTTGCCTTAGTATTTGTAAAAAAATGTATTTCGATTTATCACTGTTGTGTTTCTTATAAGTTATACATAGGCTATATGCGGCGTATTCAAAATGCATTCAAACTGAGCCAGTTGCGGGAATGGCATATAGCGTGCGCTTTTTTGCGTCGGGACGTGACGTGACGTGACGTGACGGATACACACACACACACACACACACACACACACATACACACACACACACACACACATATATATATATATATATATATATATATATACCACCCTACCTAAACTGCCACTACTGGACGTGCCGTGACGTGACGTGACGGATATGTATAGCTGAACCTTTAACACGTTGCACCCAATTCAATAAATAAAATTCATAAAATAAATAAAATTCAAGAAATAAAATTCTTGGACACTTTGGAGCATTTTGCAGATACATTTAAATGTTATGCATTGTTTGCCTGCCAATCCTAAATGACGCCCATCCCCTCCTGGGCCTTTTCTTGAGGCTCTCAAAGTTTGCCACAGTTTCACTCTGTTTGCCACAGTGGTGATGGTCTAAGAAGGGGTAGCGGGATTTTATCCCCCTGAGCAAAACTGACATCACAGCCTAGGGGGCAAAATCCCGGTCGCAAACCTTTGAGTTGCACATTCTGAGTTTAATAAATTAAAGGTGGAATTAAACGCATCTTTTCACGGTTGTTAAGAACAAATTAATGTTACATTATAAAACCTAGAGTGTACGGGCCGGAATTTTACCTCGGGCTTTTACTTCCTTCATGAGTTTAGCTCAAAAGTCTACCCCTTGTCCAGATACAGAATTTGGCGAGAATAATTAATTTTATACAAGGTATTTTTATGGAAAGACGTTTAATCAGTTAACTATTATTTAACTCTGTTTATATTAAATGTTGTAAGCAAATTAAATTTGTAAACAAAACATCAAAATCATCAAAACTTGTACAAACCTAAGTTTTCCCACCGTTTCCGTTACATATAACCCTCATTAAAACCAAAGATTTCCTCCTAAGTTGATACAGCAAAGGTGGTGGAATCTTACTCCGCACTCCATAATCAATTACACAATCTAGAACAAATACAGTAAATCAAAACTAGCACATAGTTGTGCTGTGCTAACTGTGAAATTAGATTTTGTTTGGCTCATCTGTCTGAAGTTGTGAAATAGGCATTTGATAATAGTTATGCTCGTTTACATTGAAATATCTTATATATAAAAAAAACTTGGCTTTTCTTTTCCGAGTTCGTTTGGCTCTTCTACCAGAACGATTTTCATTATTGAGGTCTCGAATTGAAGGTATACACGCACAGATTTGCCATCAAGCATCGGCATATATTTATCTATAATTCCACTCGGCTTATACGTAAAAAAAAAATTCTCCCCATGCATTTCTTATGGGAGTTAAATTTGGTTTCTCTTTTCCGAGTGCGTTTGGCTCTTATACCGACCGATTTTCATGATTGAGGTCTTAAATTGAAGGCATACACGCAAAGATTTCACATCAAGCATCGACCATCGAAGTAAATGCATCGGCATGTATGTACCTACACTGTATTATTTAACCGAAAAACATCATTTGATTCATTTTCGATTTCTTACTTTAAGATGTATTTAACTAGTTATAATTACACAATCCTATATATTTTGGGCTAAGGACTTTCAGTGAAATACCTGCATTCATTTAAGCTACTGTACTAGTTATTCAAATCGGACGAGTTTCAAGAAAACGCAAGGAGAACAATAAACATTATTTTTCATAAGGTTTTTCTATGACTAAAAATCAATAGCTCCAGTATTGTTCATGTATGTTTTATACTCAAAATAATCTGCAATTATAGGCTTTAAATTGAGCTATTGATCGTTTGAATCAGTATCAATATACTGTATTACTCATCAAAAATCATAAATTTGATTAGTTCTTGGATATTATATATTTAGTTTAACGCTGTGGAGCAGCATGGGTGCTCTAGTCTTATTTTAATTTTATTACATTTTAACAATATTATTATTTACATGATTAATTATTCTCGCCAATCCGTTCTAGGCCAATTTATGTAGCCAAGGGGCAAAGTTCCAGGAGGAAAACCCCGGGCCGTACAGTTTTAGTTGCCTAAACCCTAGTTATATGGACAGGGGTAAAATTCCGGCTTTTATCTATATACTAGCTGGCCCGAGACGTTGACGTTGTCCTGTCCTAATGTGGTTTTATGTCAAATGCTCGTTCATTTTCAAGATGAGCTCGTTCGCATGGTTCAATCACGTCCTGGTTGAAGTTCGTTCGCTACGCTCCCTCACCTTTAGGTTGGAGCTCGTTCGCTACGCTAACTCACCTCCACGTTGAAGTTTGTTTGCTACGCTCACTCACCTTTTGGTTGCAAATTAGCTGTTGTCATATTTTTTAAAAATAATACAGTAGTGCTGCACCCTGTTGGTAAACCTATTAACTTTTTAATACTATTGAACATCACAGAATCAAATTGATGTGTTGAACCAGCTGTTAAGATTCTTAAATTACATTAAAATATGAGTACTCATAAGGTTAACATGGGAAACTCCAGAGCCACTGGGGTGGAGCCCTTTTAACGGATCTGCACCAAACTTCACACAAACCATCCTTAAATAATACTTAATAATGCCTAAAAGTTTCATTACAATCTGTCGAGCGGTTTTGGAGTCCATAAAGGACAAACATACAAACAAACATACATTGGATTTTATATATATAGATTTAATACGCTAGGCATATTTTTGTCATAATTGTTTAGGGGCGGTGGTGCTACCGATCACCATGTCCAAGGTGTCGTTAGAAAGGTCTTAGCATGTAGTTTTGCCATCAAACCAAAAAACTTTGGAATTCCATCAGGGCTCTGCGTCAGTGGCCTTCAAAGTTTCCATGTTATTCTTAGGGAGAAAATGTTTGTTTACATTTAAACAGATGAATACTTTGAAATTGGCACTAATATTTGAAACAGCTGGTTATACTAAAATTGGAGACATTTATAAGATTAGTTGAAAAGATTGATGTTTCGTTTCACTGTTTTAAACCCGTTTTTTATTTGCACAAAATCAAAACATAACCAAAAATACGTTCGACATAATGGAGACTATAAGACGTTTACCAGAACGTCCAAGGGAAGGAGGCCGACGAACTTTAACTGGTAGACGCGCACGAAATACAAATACAGTAGTACTATTGTTGTTGATAGCCGAATACAGCGAGCACCCTTCCGTGTTGGGTTTATGTGTGCTCTCCAACAGCCAACTGAAGATTTCACATTCAATTTAGGACTGTTAGATAATTGCTGCATATGCTGTTGATTTTGAAGCAGAAGAGAGGAGATATTAGATAAGTTGCAAATGCGTTGGGAGCAGAGTGTTTTATGTTAACGTTTTAAAGGTAAACGTGCGGATATATACCTAACATCAGAAAGATACTGGAACAAGATTGGGAGTTGGGCCGTTATGAAACACAGTTTGTCACAGGACATTGAAAATTTCAAGGCGAATTTTTGGATTTTTCACCTGGTGGAAGAAGAAGTATGTAGATGTGGAGAAATAAAAACCACGAGTCACGTATTTATAAACCACGCTGTTCACCTCACTGTTCACTTCAGGAGACAAATAGGAGAGAACAGAAATAAGTCTTGCATAAGAGAAGTCTAGAGATGAGCGAATCTCAATGACATCTATCGCTCAGGGCGGTATGGGGAAGCGAGTCGTGCTGTTAGGCTTTTGGACACATAATGTGTCTGGACGAGGATTGAAAGTGGCTGAAGCCTAAAAAGAAAGAAGATTTTCACGGGAATTGGCCTGGCAAATAAGTGCCACACTTAAGAAACTTGGTGAACTTGGTGGTAAGAGTGTGTTGGTTGAAATTAAATATTTATTTACCTGAGTATTTCCATAATCTTTGAGTCGAATCTTTGAAAGTCATCAGAAATTATAACTGTTATTTGTTTTAAAATAACGCCTGTTATACTTAGAAATTGCTCGAATTCGAGCAACAGGTACACTAGTTGCTAATTTAATCTATCACGCACTATTTTCATTAGACTCACAAATCCGCGGGGTAAAATTCCACCCTCTAACAAACTTGAGAGCACTCAGATGACTACATTATAGTGATGTCAGCTCTACTCAGGGGGTAAGACTCTAGGGGGATAAAAAAATATATTGCACTTATCCAACTACAAACATGTTTTGGTTTTTTTTAGGTTTACGCTGCGAAGGACTTCGCAAGATTTGGTGTTGAAAACGGATTGTACCTAATTGTTCCCAAAAATATGCTCACTGATGATTTCAGACAAAGAAACAAGATACGATCTACGAATTATCTCTGGTTTGACTTGGAAGAAAAGGTGAGTTTTGGTTTTTGTCCACTCTAAATAGTGATATGTTAGAGCTTTCTAGTAAACTAATTGGATCAACATTTAGTTTCATAATTTTAAATGCATATTTAAGCTAAACAAAGATGCTATGGCAAGGAAGATATACCACAACTGCATTTATTAAACAAGAACATGTCTTATGTATAAAATCCCTAGGCTCAGCTATGAGGCCAGAAAGTGAAGGCCTCTGCCTCAAACACGCTCAACAATACTACGTACATTCCAGTCTTGTGGACAACCTAAACCACAAATACGAGTTACGTTCTAATCTAATCGAGCGGAGTGAGCACTCTTATGCATTTCGTCATAAGCAAACTCCTCGTTTTCAAATGTCGCATGGGGATAAAGACAATTATGGTGAGTGCCAAAATCTATATTGTGTAAGAAAATCTCCCAGGAACCCACCCAACGGGGTCTTAAAGTTGAATGTAATCGTAATGGAAGCAGTACTTGACTCAGAAACACATATGATCAGCTGTTGACTTAAATACTAGTACATCAGGAAACAGCAAATATAATTATTATAACTACAATCACGGATATTATAACAGAAACGGTATGTACCATGACGTCATTATTAGACAAATACGTCACTAACTACGCGCAACCGCGCAACGCGCACCGGGTAACTGTTAGTCTTGTAATATTGTAATTTAGTGCGTGGTTAGTTCTTTCTTACATTTTAAAAACAATTTATTATTTATTATTGTTGTTCACCCACAGAACAAGTTAATTATTACGTGTTTGTAGCAGTGACCCATTAGTTTTATCTTTCAAACTAAACATTTTTAATGCTGTAGCAGAAAGTTTGCCATTTGTAATTACGATTTATATTATAAGCTCATTTGAATTTTTATTGGAGCATACATTAGCGATGAATTAATTGAAATGCAAATTATGTGTTAATATTAATCACGTAAGATTTCAATAGAACAGAACTACGTATTTTAATGTAAACAATAAGTATTTCCTTAAACAATAGTTAATAAGGAGTGTTTGAAACTCTAACTCTAAGATTATTTAATAAAAGCGATTTGATTGTTTTATAGTAGCATATATATTAGCGATCAATCGGTTTGAATGAAAACTACATGTTCGTATAAATCACGTGAGATTTCAATCGGACAGGACAGGACCTTTTTATTGTAAACAGAGTTGTTGGTTTACATAGCATACCTAAATAATAGTATCTTAGTAAAAAACGTGTTATTTTTAAACCGATACGCGTATTCGAGAAAATATTAATTGTACTTCTAATAATAGAACATCGTTCATCACTATGGCTTACCCTACCCCTAGTTTGTATCATTAATTATTTTTCGCTAAAGTCTACATGCTTGCTAACAACTTCCTAACAGTAGCTTCATCAGTATTGTCTAAGTGTAGTGAATCTTACATTAAGTAAAGTACAGTTATAATTTACACCTCCGGTGACGTAGTTTACTACTTTTAGTAATAAATTAAATTTCATAGCAATTTAAACAACAGATTTATTAAACAAGCAAATACCTTATTCATCCAATCCCTGGGCTCAGCTAGAGGTTGGAAAGCCTCTGTCCGAAATACGTACAAACCCTACGTACATTCCAGTCTTGTGAGCACACTAAACCATAAATACTGGACGTTCTAATCTTATATACAATTTCAACCACAAAAGGTAGATAGGTTCCAATCTAGTTGAAAATTTAAACCACAATAATTACTGGAAACGTTTGAATCTCACAGACAACTTAAGCCACAAATACTGGGTACTTTAAATCTCCCAGATAATTCAAACCACAATTATTTGTTTTTCATGATACCTACTGCCCAACCTTACCCGAAAGTCAGTCAAGCATTAGAGTATTTCTGTTGTCAGAGATAACGCTATATAACAATGGAAGAATTGCTATATATATACAATATGGGCATACATATACAGGGTGTTACATAATGTTTAACCGAATGTCCAGGATGCCATTGTACGGATGAAAATAAGTTGAAAATGTCTAGTTACACCAGTTTAATTTTAGTTTGATACACGTGAAACCTAAAATTTTACATCTGAGTTTGTAGGGATGATAAGTACGATTTATGTCTGATAAAAAATAAAAATCGATAGGCATTGTTATCTCGTCAATATTGATTTTATAACAACTATTTATTTAACTCGGACAACTGATTTGGCCTATAGAAGGGTGGTTTCTTTCATATTAGCCTAGTATTGTGAACTGTGAGAATGACATATTCAAATTAAAATGTAGACATTTTATTCATGATATTACAGTAGCTTGGCCTTGCCAAGTTTATTAAACTTGTAGGTTGGGTCCAATCAATACTCAAAAATACAAACTTACACTATTTAAATTTACACGTCCTGATATAGTTTAAGGAAGGCACTTATCTTGTAACATAGTATTCTGCAGCTAAACTTAATTTTACATGTTCTAAAAAAAATTGAAGAAATTTCCTTATAAGCAAATTGATTCTAACTTAATTTCTATGTGCATTTTGCTTTTCTGTCTGTGTTTCCTGTTTCGTCTGCCGTGAATTCTTATTGTTTATGATAGATTCAATATCGACCAACAAAATAATAAATATTGTTGGTTGAACATAACCTCTTACTGAAAAAGCTCTGCACATAAATATTTACAAATAATAAAAAATTAGAACAATAATAGAACTGTTGGAAGAAAATAACTTTTTCCCTTTCTTCCATAAGAAATTGTATTTTTTACTGTACCATTAAACTAGTTGGTTTTAAGTGTTTCTGTAGGTGTTGTAATTGTTTTTCCTAACCAAGTTTTAGTCAAATGTTGTGCTGATTCTTGTCCCAATGCTATGGCAAGTATAGAACATTTTCATTGTTGGATGATACATACCTCCACCTGACCTGTACCTTGTTGACCTGTCTATATATGATTTAACTTTTACGGAGATCAACCAATATTCCTCAGCCAGTGAATAACATAAATAGAAAATTTGCTTTTATAGTGTAACGACCCAAAACCCGTCAAGGGTTAAAAACCCGATTTTTATTTTAAATATATAATAATTTTTTATGTTCGGGGTAAGCCGCGCCCGCGTTGTCAGCGGCATCGTAGGGGCAAGGGTCCTACGTCATCGTAGAGGGGATGACGCTAGTTACCTACCCCGCCGCCAGGGGCGACGGTGAAGAAGGACCAGAAGAGCAGACCTCATGGTCACTGGTCAGTTGTCCACCCGCTACCGAACCGCCGAGACACGCTTGCTGGTTGGAGATAAATCCAACAGTCCTGACGTACTAAATTCTGGTCTGTTAAAGATTTCCCCCGTTCCTGGTATAGTCCTAAGGCATCAGGTGGTTAGTGTGCTACCGAGTTTATTTTGTTTACTCTCATTTTTGCAGAAGCTTTATTATTTTTATTTTATTGTGCCGCAGTCTCGCGCAACCCGCACGCTTTTTCACGTACGAGCACACTGCCTTTTGTCTTTAACCAGCTTCGGAAATCATTTAAGTTGCCAGAACGATATCCGTAGAGCTTATTCCTACCCCGGAACGTCCTACGTAAGTTCGATTTAAGAAACCCCGTATCGACTCTGATGATCGACCGAGTCTAACTTTTCCCGACACGTCTACTTTGGTGGTTACCAAGTAAAACGACCGAATCACATTTTAGTTATGTTTCCAATTAATTAGGCTTATTCGCATTCACGATAGGTTATTCAAAATTCTAAATTTAACTTCACATATTTTTCGAGTGGCTATGATGAGCACTTGTTAAATGTAGGCTTAACATTGTTAGCATTATTGTAATTAATATTCTGAGCCAATAAACTCGAAACGATAATTAATTAACGAACACGTTAGAGTCCTGGACTATCTCATAGTAGGCTAAGCTATCTGGACAAATTTAAGGTGTGACAGAATTTCAGGTGAGACGACGATTACGTATCTTAAATTCTTATTTTGTCTCTCAACCCGAAATTTCGTCATAATAGAAATTATTTCTTTCAACTGCAATTCTTTTAAAGTTACTACTTAACTATTACTGTCACGCATTTGGCTTAAATAATGATTGAAACTTATTTTACAGTACATATACGACGATGTTACTGACAAAGTAAGTATATGATAATTTTCTCAACTAATAAACTATGCTTATTAACCTGTCAGAATATTTCTTGTCAAGTGTTTAATTTAGATTCTTTTTGACTGTAGTTCAATTCTTCTGAGATTTAAACACTCATTCTTCTTCAGCTTTTAAACTTGTCTATTCATAAAAAAATATAATCGTATGATTAAATCATTAATATTGTATCCTATTATTGTATCCTATTGAGTATTGTATTGTTCAGCTTGTTTTTTTATCTATGTATCTTGTATTCTTTTGAGTATTGAATTATTGACTATTGTTCAGTTTGTTTTTTCTTTTATGTGTTGGCTTAGCCGTTGGCATGTATAAATAAAATAAAATAAAAATAAATACATGCACTAGATTAAAAATAAAATTTACACGTTAGGGTCTTAAACTTCACATTAAAATACTCCGACATAATACTACAGGGATCGTAGTAACTAATAAATTACGCAGAATGAAATGCATACATAAATCTATCTTATCCAAAGTTTGATTCGAATCTGATTATCACCCGTTTGGGGTTTCTAGCTTACATACGAAAAAAGATATGATAATGAAGTCTACCAAGATAGACGTATTTACACATTGTTTCACAAATACCAGCCGGGCTGCAAGACAAAAAAAGGAGAGGATTGCCTGGAGGCAAAAAGAAACTACTATGAGGTGAGTAGTACATTTTTAAACCCTTAGAAAAGTTGAATGTATCCTATGCATGACTAGCATGTTAGAGATTTTGATGTATAATGAGGAGTCATCGATGTACATACGTTACACTCAAACGCCGAATTTTGACAATTTCAGAAATGTTTACGCACTTCGTGGTGTGGACAGTGTATAAAATACTCATGTGGCGGGGTGGGCATTTTATTCGGACATTGTCCGAAGCGAAATGCTAAGAACGCGTTGTGGATAAACTGATTTACTCAAATGCCAAAGTCAAGACCATCTTCGGGGATTGAGTAAATTCGAAATAACCTCATCACGATGCGAGCTTAAAGTTACTGTGCACGTTGCGTTGTGAGTATTTCTAGTTTTCACAAATGCCAAAATATCGTTCTCACAAAACATACATGACACTTCCTTGTTTATTTATTTATTCTTTCAATGGTAACATACCAATTTACATAATAAATGTACAAGTTGCTGACAAAAAGAGTTGAAAATAGCAACAATCAACAATCAAGCATAACAAAATAATAGACTCTATAATGATATATCAAGTTAAGATAACATCTTAAATAACATAAAAAAACTTTGTTCGAGACCTAATCAGCTGGTCAATGACAAAAAAAAAATAAAAAAAATCTCATAACAATAATAACATAATTAATATCTGAATAAGCTATAATCAATATACAACAAGCTATAATAAGCTGAATACATATACGATGCTGTTACTAACAACGATAACACACTAGGAATAACTACAAACGATAATTGGCTCCCGTAACATTCAAAATATTATAGCTTAAAAGATTGTATTATAAACTGCGAGTTTCTTCTATATGCTGACGATCTCAAAATATTCACTATTGTTAACAACCAACAAGATTGTGTTATGCTACAAGATGATCTCAATCGATTGTTTCTTTGGAGTCGTGACAATCTAAAATTTCATGTGGATAAATGTTCTGTTGTAACATATTCAAAGAAAACCCCTAGTAACCTCATCATGCATAATTATAATATTGGTGGTAGTCTTCTTTCGAGGAAAACTTCAATTAAAGACTTGGGTGTGACATTTGATTCCAGATTTACATATAATGATCATGTGATTTCCATTTGTAAGACTGCCTTCTCAATTGTTGGTCTTATCCGCAGGTTGGGCAACATTTTTACTAATCATTTAAAAACTAAACGATTAGTAAAAATTAAACTGTTATATTGTTCACTGGTCAGGTCAAGATTAGAATATGCTTCTGTGGTATGGTATCCTAGTGTGAACGATTTATCTGATCTCATAGAGTACCATCTCATAGAGTACATAGAGTTAACCACATAGGCCTTTCAGGCCAAAAGGCCAAATAACGGAAGTTTGACTGCTGATCTGTTGACCGACATGTTTTGAGAATTGCTGGGTTGTCGGATTCGTTTGTACCAAATATCATCAAAATCGGATCATTTTTGCTCGAGTTATCGTGCTAACGGACACACACACACACACACACACACATATATATATATATATATATATAAATAATATAAATAAATACATAAATAAATATACATATATATATATATATATATAAATTTGAACGGATGGTGTTTTTGGCCTCTAGGGACCTCAAAATGAAAAATTAGATCGGTCTCGGGTCCAGGTCTTACCATGAGTACTACGGTAATAGCTTATTCCCTATATGGGAAATTCGCTAAAAACTATTTCAAACTACGTCCATATGTTTAGTTGTAAACAAAGGGAATTGAGTTTGATGGTTTGATGTAATGTCAACAGATAGCGCCACCGTTCCCAAACTTTAGCCCCTAACTGTATTTAAGTGATGCCCTTTCTTAATATTCTGAGACGTATTTGCACATCTACGTGAAAATAGCTTTAATTTGACACCTCAAACGTTAAAATCCGTCAAACCGTTATCAAGTCATGACTGTGAAAAGAAAACTGCTTGCGTATTAATATATGGATACTAATAAAAAATGAATGTTAATATGTGAAAAATATGAACTTTCATTTGCCTGATTTGATTTTTACTGAAATATTTCCTAGAAACTGACGATTCTAACCCCCCAAAAAACCTATAAAATTAAACTTAACGAGTACTTAGGTTTACTGCTATAGGGAGGATGAAAAAGTGTGTATTTATTTTTAAAAGCTAAAATTAGTTATTTGTGCAACTAGTGAGAAAAGTGAGCAATTGACTCACTCGAGAGAAATCCTTACTCACGAGCCGTAGGCGAGTGAGGAATGGTTTCTCGAGTGAGGCAATTGTACTTTGAACTCGAGTTGCACATTATACTTTTCCTACAGTTACCATAAAACAAATTAATTGGTCTTATGTTTCTTCAAACATAACCTATTTTTACACAGAAGTGAACTTTTAATATAACATTTAATGTGAAGTGACAAATACAACAGTACAACAGCTGACCAGCTGATTTACAACCAATGCTGCCAACGTACTTCGCGCGCATACGACGTTGCCTGCATGTTACGCGCTCACTATTTCGTGCCTTCACGTTGCAAATCTGGAGTGAGACAAAGTAATTAGAGTGAGACAATGTTAACATTGTCTCACTGATCAGCGAATTGGCCACTTTGCTTTCTCAAATCAGTTAGAGAACATGTACATTGTTAGGTGACTGTGGAAAAAAAATAATAATAAATTTGCCAAGTTTGATGAAAAAGTATCCATAAATTTTGCAAAATTCAACGATTTCCTTATTCCTCCATAACAATAACATGGGAATTTTAAATTTAATACTAACTTTGATTTATTTCAATAACAATAATAGATTATCAATATTTATTAAATAATAGATTATTTATTTAATTCAATTATAGAGAAAACTTCAATAATAGAGAAAATAATAGTAGGGCAAAGCTTATAATTTAAAAAGGTGTATTTTTAAGTGTTTATTATTTTTTGTATTTACCAGAGTAAAAAATATTTATTACCAATGGTTAGTGAATTATTTAAAAAAATGAAAATTAGCCGCTATTTCCGAGATGGCGGCTGAAGCACAGTCGGGATTAGGGGGACTTTTGGCATTTTCATCAACTTGGCTTACTTAACAACTGTGCAAAATGTCCACTTAGTCCGAACTTGTTAGGTCCATATTCCTAATAATCTTCCAATATCGAGGAAGATGACATTTTAAGGAACACGGAATGAAAATTAACCCCAGTATCAGTTGGTGATAATGAGTTGGTGAATATGTGTTGATGTCGACCGGACACAGCTAACTCTTGAAAATTGATTTGCAGCTGTAGTAAATAAGAACAATAGAATAGTAAATAAGAACTAGACTATTGGTACTACAAATAGCCTATGGAGTTCTTGATAAACAGTTTTCAAGAAACCAAGCAATTCCAAATGACACCAAATAAGTTTATTTGTACCGAGGATGAGAAACTCAACGTGTGAAAAGAAGCAATGATATCATCCGCATCCAAGCAAGGTTTCATTAGATTTGGATGTAAAAACCCCTTTTTAGGAAATCTTGGAACGCTTATTCTGTGTTTACGCATTTTAAAAATACACAAAGTCCAACGTGGGCATTCACTTTTGCCCGCACCGCGTTGAGGGCATTTTTTTGCTCTATGATAGAAGAACTTTAGCACTTTGGCATTTGAGTAAATCAGTTTACCCACAACGCGTTCTGTGCATTTTGCTTCGATGATTTTGCGAATAAATACCCAGTCTTGACTGTCTAAATCGTGACGTGAATTTTGGACATTGTCCAAATTCAGAGTTTGAGCGTAACAAAAACAATTTAAAGTTTGCTTTGCGCAAGATAATTTAGTCTAACGATCAGCTGGGTTTCTTTCTGCAAACTGTCACTGAAATATTTACGTTTAATTTTTTTACAAAATATTGATGTTGATTGTACAATCTTTTACGATCGAGCCAAATCAAGTAAGCTCCTACCACGAATACTAGTGTTTCTACCGTAAAGGATTTGCATTTTTAGTAAATGTCTAATTTTGAAGTTCTCAAAATGATTTATTAAACTTTGTTGTGATTTAAAATGATTTAAATGATTTAAAAGTTTTGTTGTAAATTCAATATATGTGAATATAAGTTTAAGCTATAAAGATTTAAATTCGTGGTAGGGAAATGTTTTTTTTTTGCTTTATTTTTGCAAATCGTCCTTAGTTTGTACACGTTATAATTCGTTTACACGTCGATATATAGTTTTTCCTTATATTTCAAGTATATCCGTCGATGTACCAAAATGTTCGTTGAAAATGCAAATTTAAAACCAGTAAAGTTTTAAATATTGGTCCTCAGAAAAAAATTAGCTCCAAATGGTCCTAAAGAAAAACTAAAATCAAATGATACAATAACATAATTAATATCCCAGGACTACCGTATGGTTCAAGGACCTAGATGGGCACTGACCAGTGACTCCAAAAAAGCTTATTCTTTTCAAGAGTAGAGTGATGAAAATACCCCCGCCACAGCAAACCTGCAGACTAAGCGAATTTCCATTTGCCTGATTGGATTTATACTAAAATATATCATTAAAAATATCACATTTATTGCCTATTTAAATATCATTAGTTTAACGAGTACTTAGGTTTGCTGTGACAGGGACGGTGTTTTTAGTAAAATGTAAAATAGTTTAGTATGAAATAAATGCATTTTCCAAATTTGATCAAAATATGTCCATAAACAAGCAAACTACAACAAGTTTACATATTCTCCATAAAAATAACAAAAGAATTTTAAATTTAAATTTTTTTGGAATTTTCTCCGTAACTATTAGGCGCTTAACAACCCTTAAATGTGTTTTTAACTAAATTGTTTTTATTTTAGTTCTACAAATGGTTTCGAAATCAATTGCAAAATTTTATGTTTTTAGGTCTAAAACGGGGAAAGCTAAATTTTTACCCCATAAAACCCCCCAACATAAACCCCAATTTCCATGGTCAGATCATGCTGGTTCGCGAACTCTTTCGAATAAATGTAGGTTTACACGTTTGTACCAAATTTCATTGAAATTGGATCATTTTTGCTCGAGTTATCGTTCTGACGGACACACACACACATATTAATTTGAACGGATGGTGTTTTTGGCCTCTAGGGACCTCAAAACGAAAAATTAAATCGATCCCGGGTCCAGGTCTTACCATGAGTACTACGGTAATAGCTTATTCCCTATATGAGAAATTCGCTAAAAATATACGAAACAGTTCAAGATAACGAAGGCTTAGCTATAAGAAAGAATATAGAGCTATGAAAAACTAATGTGGGCAGGCCAAGTGTAAAAGAGAGAGGATAATTGAATTGTTAAAACCTTATTCCAATGAGTGCCACAAGGTAGACGACCCCTTATAAGACCTAGAGTGAGGTGGAAAGACCAATTTGGAACAACGGATGACCGCCTAAAAGGAAAGACATATACAGACTGGTGTCTGCATTAGTAAAAGGCTGGCGATATACTAGAATATATGCACATTTTTGTCTAGGCCAAGCCACGGAGGTAAGGTAAGGTAAGTACAATAGTATCTAATGGAAGGTGGAGTGTAGCTACTTATAACCATTGATTCGATTCAAAGCGAGAACGTTAGCAAACACAGACGCCATTTTGTCATTAGTCAAAAAATAATACTTTCTCCATATACTATGGTATAGGGGAGAAAGTAAAAATAATGAAGATATCTTAGAAAAGGTCAATGTTTCATGAAAACAAGACCGGGGTCGGAGAATAAGTAAAACATTTTATTTAGATTGTTTATGGATGTATTTTGATCAAGTTTGTAGTTAATGATTTTTTATCTAATTTTATGTTATTGTATTTGACTGAAAACACGTGTTAATACCTTCTCTGTACTCGTTCAACTTAATTTTATTATTTCATGTTATTGTGTTTAGCAAAAGTTTTAGAAACTCATCAATGTGAAGATGTGCTGTGGAGGGGTTAATCAGTTTTTTTTTTATATTTCAGTACTTGAAAAAATACATTTTTGTATGTTTATGAACAAATGTTTTGCTATAAAAATTTATTTACTATAGTATTATGAATGAGTATTATTATATGTTACTAGGATCACTTCAAATTCAAGTACAACTCGTCGTATGATAAGGTCGTTCTGCTCACAGTGCATGTGGATGTTGTTCAAGAGGATTTCCTAAAGGACCTCTGTCCAAAACTTGGAGCGCCGCTAGAGTATCCTGCATTGTACCACGAAAGCCTTTTGGGAGTATGTTAGAAAAATTTTAAATATTATTTTGACTAAATTAATGATAAAACGAAAGATTCTGAAAAATATTTTGAAAGATCACTATATCTGTATATTGTATGTATTTGCAAAACAGCTTAGTTAAATATAAATGGGAGTAGATAATTTGTAAAAGAATCTCACAGTTTATTTATTTCTTGTTACTCTCTCTTATTCTTTGTTATTTATATGAAGGAATTGATTCCCGAATACTTTGGTATTTATGTAATAACGATTTTAATTTGGTCCCAACCTAATGTTTCAGCTATTGAGTTTTAAGTGATCTTGTCACGTAAAAGATGTCAGAATGCTAAATTATGAAGAAACATTTGGAAAAAAGTTAATTACATATATTTGATTTTACAATCCAACGTCCAAATAAAACATATGGATCTGTGTCCTCCATGATGCAATGCCAATAGTCTCATGATACTAGCAAGCCGGTCAATATGGCTGGGTTATTGATCATGTATATCCGTAGACCTTTTATTTTTTATGCTTACAGAACCAATATTTGCGTAATTTGGGTTTGTAAGCGAACAAGTGGATTGTGTTTATATATAATCACAATATATAATATAATATAATACAATATATTATTGGGGATAGTACAATTCCTATCCACGGGGGACTGAAATAACATATATCAACCATTACTTTTTGTAAGTTGACCATAACAATTTATTTCCTACTTTTCAGTTGTACGAAGTAACCGGAAAATTCAGTGGAACATTCAGTCACGTGACGACAGATTATTCTGCTTCACAATCGTGCTACTTCAAGAAGATGGATTCCTAGACCAAATGGGACCAGACGAAGAAAATGCTTGGTAAAAAAACTGCCTAAACGTGCCAGTAATGAAATAAAGAATTTAACTTTTAAAATACAATCATTTTACCCTAATGTTTCTAATAGTTTACAAAGTACACTAACGGGTGTACTTATTTTTATGTAGTGAGATTGTACTATTTCCACTTACAGACTAACACCGTTCAGAGCTTTACGATAGAACGATTTGAGTTATACTTGTACATGGCATTGTGGCTCATAATTCTTTTATACCTTTGTCATTAATGGCACTAATTACAAAAAACACAAGTCTTTGATTTAATAGAGGTTTCACTCATTTAAATTTACATTCAGGTGACTCACGGAAGATGTTGTTAAATATGTTTGTTATTTAAGATGTTACTCAAACTGTATTGCGAAAAGGTTACTTAACGTACACTTAAATAAGAAATTCAACTTCATGGTGGATTTGAAACTGTCAAGTGGTGCCGGATATGAATCACATTTCAATAAGCTCCTATTGGATATCAACTAGGATGATAAGTCTGCTTGAGGTATAAAACACCTTGATTAAATTTGATCACATTTAAAGTCAATGTTTGTATTTTACATGTCAAAAATTTTTCCCCCATACCTTATATTCTGAGGGGTGGTAAGTGAAAAAATGTTACCGAGCAACACAAGAATAAATCAACATAACTAGAGGACCCATACTGATCCGCTGCGTTAAAATAAATATAATATCCGAGAAATAATCAAACTTATGATATCTTGAGCATAACTGATTCAAACGGTCAATAGCTAAAATTAAAGCATATAATATACGGATTATTTTGAGTCTAAAACATATAAAAAACATAAACAATACTTGAGAGATTGATTTTTAATCATAGAAAAACCTTATGAAAAATATTTTTTATGTTGGTTTTTCACCTTCCGTTTCTTGAAAATCGTCCGATTTGAATAACTGATAGATATTTTAGTAATGTAACATTTTAATGTAGTAACTCAAGTTTATTTTATCACAAATCTATATTGTAACTGAATCATCATATAAACAATAACAACTGAACAGAACATATGTAAATTAACAAATATAGTATAAGCCAGTACATTTGGAATGGACACATCAATCCTCCCCCTTAAATTTAGAAGGTAACATGTGGTTGATATGCCGCCTCCATATAGATCCATCATCCATTTCAAGAACGTAAATTAACTGTCCATCCTTGCTCTTTACTTTACCAAACATCCACTTGTTTTTCTTGTCTCTGAAATCATAAGCTTGAACTCTTTCCCCCTTTTTAAAGTCTCTTATTCCCTTTGCACATTTAAAGTCACTGTTTGAAGGTGTGTTATTTGTTATCATCAAATCTAGTCTCGTTCTCACATTTCTCTGAAACATTAGGAAGTAAGAATTTGATCCAGTGGAGTTTCTTGATTGTCTCATTTGCATCAAGAATCTCTGTAACTTAATTTCCATATTCCCTCCTTCATCTTTCATGGCTTGTAGACCTTTCTTTATAGTTTGGACAAATCTCTCCGCTTGACCGTTGGAAGAAGGGTGGAATGGAGCACTTGTCTTGTGTAACACACCGTAGTTTTTCAAAAATGTTTCAAAAGTATGTCCACAAAATTGTCTGCCATTATCTGACACTAAAGTAAGTGGAATTCCAAATGTAGAAAACAATCGTCTTAATTGTGTGACACACCAATCAGAAGAAGTATTTTTTGTTTGAAATACCTCGACCCATTTTGTGTAAGCGTCAACGACAATAAAAAAATAATTGTTTCCAAAACAAGGCCCAGCAAAATCTATATGTATTCTTTGCTAGGGACCATCAGGGGTTTGCCATGGATGAGGAGTCGTTTGAGGTGGTTTGTTTTGTTTTAAACAACATTGTTTACAAGTCTTAGCCAGATGTTCAATATCATGATCGATGCCTTGCCAATAGCAGTAGCTTCTCGCTAAAGCCTTCATTTTAACTATTCCCAAGTGACCAAAATGAATTTCTGTAAGTACTTTTGATTTCAAATTTTTTGGAACGACAACTCTATTACCTTTAAATAAACATCCGTCTTGTAATGTAAATTCATAATCATTGTATCCAAGATTCTCAAGGCTCTTTCCTTCTTCTAAATGTTGAATGATGGTTTTAAGGTGTTCTTCCTTCAGTGATTCATCTGCAATCTGTTGTTTTGTAACTGGGAGTGTTTCTAATTGGTTGATTTGAAAGACAGAATAATCATCAATTGAGTTTGGTAGCGATTTTTCATGTGGAAATCTCGACAAAAAGTCTGCATTGCCGTGTTTTTCTGTTCCTCTAAATTCAACTGTATAGTCAAACCCTGAAAGAAAATGAGCGTAATTGAAGATTCTAGTTGCTGCCATAGTAGGTAATGTCTTTTGAGGATCGAATATGGACACAAGGGGTTTATGATCGGTTATCAAGACAAACTTTCGTCCATATATGTATGGAAAGAATTTCTTTAGTCCAAAATAAATAGCTGCAGCTTCTTTATCAATCTGGCTGTATTTTACTTCACTTTTTGTCAGAGTGCGTGATGCAAATGCAATAGGTTTTTCTGTACCATTTCCTAGTCTGTGAGAAAGAACTGCTCCGAGTCCTACAGGTGATGCATCTGTTGCAAGAGTAACCGTCAGATTGGGGTCAAAATGAGTTAAAATTTGTTCACTTGTTATTTCTTCTTTGACTTTTTGAAAGCTATTTTCACAATCAGAGCTCCAGATGAACTTAGCATTTTTTGTAAGTAACCTTGTCAAAGGATATACTTTAGTTGAGTAGTTTTGTATAAATTTGCTGTAGTACGTGGCCAAGCCTAAAAATGTCTTCAATTCACTTACATTTGTAGGTCTTCTAGCATTTTGAATCGCTACAGTTTTCTCAGGACTTTTGTGTAGACCTTTTTCATCAATAATGTGCCCGAGGTATTTGATACTTTTTTTAAAAAACTTACATTTGTCTCCATTCAAATGTAAGTTGTGCTTCTGTAGAACTTCTAATACCTTCTCTAATCTCAGAAGAGTTTCTTCGTAAGTTGACCCCTGGACTAAAATGTCGTCGAAAAAACATTGTACGCCATCCATACCTTGTAGTAAGGAATCCATGAATTTTTGCCACAGGGAAGGAGCAACCTTAACCCCAAACATCAGTCTATTTACTTTGAACAACCCTTTATGAGTACTTAGTGTTTGCATTTTGCTACTCTCTTTATCCATTTTCATATGTAAATAAGCATTGCTTATATCAAGAGAACAGAAGTATTTGCCTCCACTCATTGTAGAAAAAATGTCTTCAATCCTCGGAATTGGGTATTTCTCGTCTTTCACGACTTTGTTCAAAGTAACTTTAAAATCAGCACAGATACGAATGTCACCATTGGGTTTTATGACAGGTACAATAGGCGTTCCCCATTCCGAGTTGTCTACCTTGGTGATAATCTTTTGGGTTTCCAGACGGCTGAGTTCATTTTCAACTTTTGTCCTTATGGCATATGGAACCTGTCTGGCCCTTATGTATATAGGTCTTGAGTTGTCCTTCAAGTTAAGTTTTGCTTCAAAGTTTGGAATACACCCTATGTTTTTGTCAAATAAACCTTCATATTTTGCAAGTAATGAATCCAGCTCCGGCTTCCTTGTTTCATTCATGTGTATAGATTTTATTTCTCCCCAGTCTAGTTTTATTTCTCTCATCCATTCACGCCCAAAAATCCTATCGACATGTTGATTAATGACAAAGATTTTTCCCATGAAACACTGTCCCTTATAGTCACATTTTACGTATGTTACCCCCTTAGGTTTTATGATCTCCCCTGTGTAGGTGCGTAGCTCTACACCAGTCTTGTAAAGTCTTTTGGAAGGAATTAGTCTTTTGTAGTCTTCATAAGAAATCGATGTAAGTGATGCTCCAGTATCCAACTCAAAAGTAACGTTTTTACCTTCCAATTTTATATCAATGTGAAATTTGTCATCTCTCTTTTTGTCAGACAGTAAATTAATTTCATGTATATTGTCTTCAGAAATGTCATTATTTTTAGTGTAATGAACTTGCCCTTTACTGTTTTTATGTTTACTAAGGCATACTCTTGAAATGTGTCCGATCTTTCCACAGGTGTTACAGGTTTCATCAATCATTGGACAAACATTCGCTCTATGGTATATATTCCCACATCTGTAGCATTTTCCTTTTAGTGACTCAAAATCTGTTACACGAAATTTATTACCTGTACTTGTATAAGATCCTGTGTTGTATGATTTTGTTCTAGGTCTGTGAATTTGTTCATTGGATGTAATATTATTTCTAGCTTTAAACTTTACTTGATTTATGTCTAAGTCTACGTTTCCACTCTTTTGACATATCAAAGTACTTTCAAATTTTGAAAGTTCCATCGTAGTAGCTGTGTTAAGAATTTCTACAAATTGTTTGTGGTCACATTTCTGTAAAAGCTGAGTTTTAATGTCTTTGTCATTAAGTCCACGTATGAGTTGTAGTCGTAAAAGCATGTCTAATACAGATTTTCCACAAGCTTCGCAATTGAATTTACAATTAGTTGACAACCTTTTTAGTTCTGTAGCAAAGTTTGAAATAGATTCTCCTTCTTCCTGTATTCGACTAATAAATGTGTGTTGTAAAGCCAAAATACTTTTTTTAGGATCTAGAAAGTTGTCAAGCAAGGTCACAAGCTCCCCATACTCTTTATTTATAGGATTGTCTGGTGTACATAGGTCGTATAGTTTCTGATGTAGAAGAGGTGTCAAGGCATGTAAAAGTGTAAAAGTTTTTAACTTAGGATCATTTATACCTTTTAAAGTCATAAAAACCTCCAGTCTTCTGGCAAAATTAGAAAAGTTTTCCCTTTCATCGTAAGGATTAAAGCTCAAATTTGAAGTAGGAAGAACTGGAATCTGTGTATTAGCTTGTAGATTTTCAGTGGTGCAACTATTTTGATTGGGAATAGAGCTATGTAAAATACTTGGCATATGAAGTAATTGGGCATCCATTAATCTTGCTTTTGTATCAACCAGCATGTTTTCAATACTTTCCCTGTAAGTTAGCTCGTTTTCTAAATCTT